TTACTTTTTTGGTGTAATTTTAGAATACGTAACTAAAGCATTAACAAGATTATTAAATTACAATTTTTCAAATTTATATTAAATACGACTTTTATTGGAAAAAAAAAAAAATAAATAAATCTTAAACAAATTGTCCCTTTTAAAAGAATTTTTCACACAAATATAGTGTTGTAGATATCGAATTTACGACCTAATTGGTCTCTAGCTCGCTTTACGACGAAGACCGTCGTAAAACGAGTCTTAATACTTATCGTACTCTGTTATAAATTTAATATACGATTCCTGTAATATTTTACCTGTTTAATGTAATACAGAATGTCCAAAAAAGAATACAATCCGAGGAAAAATCGAGAGAAAGGAAGGATATTCTGTACGGTCGTAATATAAAATGTATATATCGGTCGTAAAACGGGGGTTGTAATAGTAACGCGTTATCATATGGGAATTACGTGTTGCCCCCAACGTCAGGAACCCAAACTAATCGTTTATAAGAAAATATTTCCCTCAAACAATTCTCTCGAAGAAAAATGCCTGAAGTCAACACTGTAGATGGTTCCCCTAATTCAAATTTGTATGGGTTCCATGAAGCTTTAACGCGCTGGTGGGTTGTAAATTCTCGTAAAGCAAGGCAGAGATGGAAGAACCTGCCTTATTTTTTTAAAACCTTCTTGTGCTTCGTGATAATATATAGAATGGTATAAGCTTAATTATGTTTTCATGAATTTTCATTGACGATCAGAGGCGTCCACAGAAAATTTTTCAGGAGGGAAAGCTTGGAGACAAATAATTACACCAATAATTTCTTTATTCTTCGGGTTTTTTTTCCATAAGTAGATTGTAGAATAGTCATAGTCGAGGGTGTAAGGTTATATATTTTAATTACTTTTACCATTATAATTTGTGGAATTTTTTACTCGATTCCAGGGAGAGGCAAGTACCCCGTTTGCTCCCATTGGTTAGGATTGATTACGATTTCAATAATATAGATAGGATATTTATATAAATATAGAGAATTTGGACTAATTGGGACCGGACCCATCCAGATTTTCAAAAATTACGAGTAGAGACGAGTACAGTATACAACAGATACGTATTTTTAATATCCATTAAATACCCGACATGGAAAAATTCTCATTGGTCCATCAATTGATACTCAGATCGACGCCGATGAGGATTGCAACCTCAAGTGGAGTCCCCAATTCTTTTTATATGATGGCGAATACGATCACAATCAACAAAAAAGGAATTGTATGTGTCCAACAATGTTATTCAAATTATATATATATTTATTAAATCAACAATTTTAAGAAATATGTTGCAATATTTTTAAAATGAAGGGCGGATAAGCGAGAGGTTAAGATGGCGGTCTGACGCTCTGGGTGATCCCAGGTCGGTTTCAAATTGGATTCCAGGAATTTTTCCGGATGGGCCGTCCAAATATGTCGGCTCCATTCCTAACCATCCGACCACCCCACTATAGATCTGGCCGAACCATTATAGTTTTGCTAAAAAGAGCATTTGTTCACCCACTTTGAAGCTTAACTCCTGTCTGAAGTTTTGCAGAGGTTTGTGTATTGGGGAATGCTATTAAATTAGGGGTTGGAGAGAAAGAGTCACGTCATATCTCGAGTGGGGTCGGAGTTGATAAAGATTTTACTTATTAGCATTTACAATTTTTTAAATAAAATTCATCTGTATCTTCAAAATTAAGCTTTTTGCCATTTCGTAATAATAGTATAATGTAATCAAAGAAGACACAGTCTGTCCAAAAATATTCTTTGAAAACCACCTTTATTCTTATCATGTGTTCCAGAACACCTTCGATGACCGGACCTTTCTTTTGAGGCTACTAGGTCGTCAGGTTAAAACATTCCTTAAAAAAACACATAAAAATATCCAATTAAAACAATAAAGTAAAAAGTTGGAACTGGTGGTCTTACAGACGTCGAGCTTTTATCCGTCCAGTTAGGGAATTTCAGGCCTTTATATCCACTTGGTAAGTGCGCTGTTAAATGTAGATTTTGGTCTTATCCTTCTGGTGGCGAATTATTTCGAAGATTTTCATTTGTAGAACTTTTTACTTTATTGTTTTAATTGGATATTTTTATGTGTTTTTTAAGGAATGTTTTAACCTGACGACCTAGTAGCCTCAAAAGAAAGGTCCGGTCGTCAAAGGTGTTCTGGAACACATGATAAGAATAAAGGTGGTTTTCAAAGAATATTTTTGGACAGACTGTTTTCTTTGATTAAATTAAAATCATCATCCGGCGAAATTCTACAAATAGTATAATGTTTTAAATATCGTAACAGATGGTGCTAGACACCACCTTTTTTTTGCCGGGAAAGTTACGCATCTTGGATTTTTTAAGATGAGCTTTAGGTTGTACCTTGTTTGGCAGGTGAGAGAGTTTGTCAACCCTGTAGGCTCAAGGAATTATAATTGTAATACTTACAAAAGTTATATGGTCCAATCACCAATGTAACTTTTACTCAGTACACTACTATTTTATTACTAGTTTGTCTAGTAAGAAAAACAAATAGGTTGTGATAAAGAGAATGAATAAATGCTTAAAAGTGTGGTCAATCTTCAATCTTTCTGCAAATTATGTTTTTATTTCTCAGCCCTTGCATTACAAAATCAGCCATTTCTAACTATTAAGTCATCCTAATTTATATTGTAAGATTGGAAAATATGCTTATTAAAGTGCAAATCAATCATTTGAATGCAACATTTGTATTGCTTTATATATAGACATTCTATTACTGTCTTGCATTAAAAGTTTGGTTTGGATGATATTCAGTAATGCAATCCACCAAAGGGTCCAGTCTCCCATAAGTTTTTGGAAACCAGATCCTTAGAGATGTAATTCAGGTTGCATCTATTAACCCCTTGGCATATAGGCAAATCCAGAGGTCAAGTTTCTACTTATTTCTTTTAAAGCTTTGCTAAACAATACTAGAATATATCGGGTATAATAGTAAATAAAAAAATACTGAAAAATTAACCAAAGCCCCTTGTTTGAATCACCACTTTCTATGGAGTTTTGTATGGGCAAACTAAACTTTGTGGTGCACTATCTGCAGAATGGTTAAATGTAGCAAAATAGGTTCTACAGCATTATTATTAATCTGAACAAGAGGTAATTTTCTCAGTTTTTTAACCAAAGTATATAGACTTAAAGTGCAACTTATATGTTCCCAAAGTCCAGAGGCTTCACCCTGCTTATTTAAACCAAGTACCAGGATGTCTTCACCCTAGTATACCCTGGCATGACTAGTGCTGGTATATATCTATACATTTTTATCAACATTTTCCATCTTATAAGTTAAATAATGTTACTTATGCAAATATAGTTAAAATATAATTTCAACAATTAACATCTTTAACAATTCAATTTTATTTTCAATATATATATATTTTCTTTTCTTTTACAGAAAAAACATAGAACTACATGATAAAAAAAGAGCAATAAATAAAACTCTACAAATGTGCACTGATTACTGAAAGAACATAACATTTAAAAGGTGTATTTACCATCTTATAAAAAGGTTTAATAAGTTATAATTTTAAGTATAAGATGTTATAAAATCTAAGTATTTCACTTATCAAATATAATAAAAATAGAACTGATGTAGCATCAAATGCATTAATGTACAAGAAAATATAAAGAATTGTTTACTGCGAGGCAGCCACGTTCTCGTGAAAACTGATAATGCAGCACATTAATGATTTCATTTGTTTTCAATTGATCGTGTTGAGTATAAATGGACAATTCCACTTTTAAATCTATTTTATGTTGAATAGTATTAATACAGTTTGCAATCATCTCTACATTTCATTACTATATATCAAATATAATAATTACACAAGAAGTTCTAAAATTATTTTTTGATTTTAAGTTAATTATTAAATTATTCAAATTTCTATAACTTAAGGCTTTATAAATTGATTATAGTATTCAGATAATCCAAGTTTCTTTTACACACTATGTCAAGAACTTGAATGTTCATATTCTTAAACCAGATAAGAGAGATATTTGTCTATTTGATAATATTTTTTAATTCAAATTAATAAAATTAAATGAAAAATTCAGAAAATTCCCATAAAGCATTAAATAATTGATTTGGACTTTAATAACCAACACTGGATCAACAGAAAGGCTGATTTTGTAACCCCGCTGCTAAATACAGCTTGAGGAATGTAACAAAATAGCATAAAATAATTGGTCTTTATATCACTGCCTTTCTGTCAAAATTAGTGTTGCCACTCAACCTTATTTGGTAAGGACAATCTTTACTTCAGTTGAAGTGTCCTTCAGTCTTCCATTTAGTGATAAAATGTCCTTCATAACAAAATGGATAGGAAAAACAAAAGAAATGTTGTAGCTAGTTTTGATGACTAGCGTTATCTAGTGTTTATCGTAATATTTCTAAATCATACAGAGAGACATATAAAAAAAGCTTTTCTGAATGGTAATGCATCATCATCAGCCTTACTTTGAAAAACAAAAAGGTAGCAACATTAGACATTCTTTTGATTACTGATGCTATTTGGCAACTATTGATTTCCCTTGAGTGGACACAATCACAACACATAGATGTATTCCTCAATAATCAATAGTCTTGTACAGTCTCCCATTAATTGTTAACTCTTTCATAATTAAATTATAGAAGCACTTATCATATTAATGAATCATTCATGTTTTATTGAGAATTTTCTGAATTTATTTCAAACATTCTTATTGATAAATTTTAAAAATGATTATGTAGTAAAATATAAACATAATCTGCTTAATGTTTGCAGTGATGAAATCATAATAAACATTAAACAACTACAGAATAAAATAATGAATTTTAATTAATAAATCTTCAAATTTTTGAAAATGAATAACTAATTCCAAATAATTGAAAAATAGAGACAACTTATAAAAGTGCTAAAAATAATTTTTTAAAATTTTAATATTTAATAATTATCAATAGAATATAAATTTTAATATATTAATTATAAATTCTATCAATAAATTTTAACATAAATATAATTGAGATTACTGAAAATTTACTACTGTATTTTATATTAATTACAATTTTTTTCTATTGCAAAACTCATATTTTGTTTATGCTACCGCAAGGAGCTAAGTATTTTCGGATTCTTCAAAATTAAATTAAATGTTAATAAAAACATTTTAAAACTTGCAACTTGAATTTTTTTATTTTCATATTTAGCAATTTGGCAGAAATTTTTTCACTTCTTTGTTAAGACAATTGCTTTTAACTCTGCATAAAAATAATTTGCTTAAAATAAAATTTAGAAAACTGAACATAAAAGCTTTACAAGATTTAAAAACATAACATATTTAATTGCAAAATAAATATTCTTCCTATAAAATGTCTTCTGAATTACATTTTTGTACGAGTTATCACATTTTTAATTATGCAAAACAACAAACAGTTTTTCCCTCTCTTTCGTTTACGGCCACTCCATTTTATCAAAATTCCGCATTAACTTATAAACATTAATTAAATCAAACAACTAAAATAACAATTCTGATAACATTCCATAATTATTTTAAAAATTAATAAGAAATATTTTCCAAAATTTATATTTTGGAATGATTAAAATCATATTATAATAATTAACTGTTAAAAATTATTTTTTTTACAACCTAATAATTAACAAATATTTAAAAATTTATGTAAATCGCTTTGCAAAATTACCATTCCGTTTTCCACTTTTTAAACTTTTTAAATTAGATACTGTCAAGTTGCCTTTTCTTTTATTAGTTTCTGAAAGTCTTGTTATAAAAATGGACAAGTTTTAGTCCAAATTAAATGCTGACATTTAAATATTTTACATTTAAAGAATGTGGAAATGACTAAGTTAATTTATATTTACAAATCTATTGAGTTTTGCATGTATTTTAGAATGACAATTATGTTTTTAATGTTTATAATATTTATATAAGCCAAATTGGTATTGAAAATCTTTGCTAAAAGAGAAGATTTGTTTACACAGTGAGAGATAGAGATAGAGAGAGCAAACTAACTATTCTTGTAAATACACCTTTAAGTTTTTAGTTAAGATAAACAGGCAATCACAAATCATTAGCTTCTGTAGTGCAAGCTATTAAAGGTGGTGGATCTCCTGTTGCTAAGGATACTGTAATTGGAGATGTGACGGAAATTGCCTCGTTTTCCTCATCTCCATCTGTCCTACTCATTAAATCATTTTCGGATTGTGTGCCGTCTGGGGATGAAGGTGACTCTTGAGGAATTAGTGCATGCTCAAATTGAGCTAACTGTTGAAGTGCAACAAATTGTGATGGATCGGTAACAACCAATATTTGCTGGGGTTGAGGAGATAAAACTGTTCCATCTTGTAACTAGAATAATAAAATTAGTTATTAATCTAATTTTATTTTAATTTTAAAAATAATATGAAATGAGAGAAATATTGTAATATTCTTCTGTTTCTACAAAACAGACCTGGGCCCTTAGTCTCGAGTTTTTCGTGTTGTACTCGAACTGACGTCATCGAACTCACTCGTGTTACTGTGACTCACATAATCGGTAGTCTCGAGTTAGACCCATCGAGCGAACTCGAAAGGCGAGCGGAAGTAGGTCATATTCACTTGTTTACGTGTATCGTTAAGCATGATGGGATTATTTACAATGCATCTGGGTTTGCGACTATACTGATTCGACCAATCAACTTTACTGTAACAAGTTGTAAACAAATCAACGTGAATTAGTTTACACGTGTTATAGTTAAAAGTTTTGTCCTATAGCAAAATGGAAACCTCCAATATTTTATTTTAAAAAAGAAACGAAGAACAAAAAGAAGTATTAGTAACATATATAGAAAATAATAAGAAAACGAACAATATAAAATTCGACAACGAATTTACAAGAAAAAGACAATTTGATTTGTGGAGAGAATTAGTTGAAAAATTAATTATGTGTTGGAGCTAAAAAATCCGCCGTGTAATGGAAAAAGTATTTTAATTTAATCCTTTTTTCATATAGTTTTCTTCCTTGATCTCGTATTAAATTGTTTTGTTTATTAAGATTATTTATTAATCAGAACTTAACACTAATGATTAATAAATAATCTTAATATAGTGTCTATGCTCTTAATAATTTATACATATAATTTACTATCATTATAATTCTTTTTGTCGATGAATAAGATACTTTTTATTTTTGGAAAAATTTGCTATATAATTTTATCAATTATGAATTAAAATTTTTTATTAGTGATGACTTGACATAAAAAGAAATGGCATCTACTCGTGTTCGAAAAATTCGTTGACTTCTTAAACAACTCTTTCGGCTCTTTCTAACGCTTCGATTGCCATCAGAATAGCGTATTTGTCAGCCATTTTCACTTTCGTGTAGCGATCTCACATGCTCGACTCAACGTGAGTAGCAACTCGCATGGTGAGATGGGAAAGCATGTGAGTTATAACTGGAGACTACCGATTTGACGTCAGAGTGTGAGATGGTACCACGTGACACCTTCAACACGTTGGGAGTTGTAACACGAAAAACTCGAGACTAAGGGCCCTGGGCAAACTTCCAACTCTAACAGTACTATTGAAATTTAAAATTAGTTTGTGGGACTATAAAGTTTCTTTTTATTAATAAAGAGCAAATTGAAGTTTTGTACTGTTATGTAATTTCTTAATATTGTTTGTAAATACTATTCTGTTATATGTTCACAATAATAACTGCAAATCAGTTTGTTTAATACAAAAATATAAATAAATAAATAAATATATATACACTATATTTGCTGATGTAAGATACATCCTGTTTTCAGACAGTATATATACTTTATGTATGGCGTATGGCTGGAATTATTATATTACTAATCAAAATAGTATCTTCAGTGGCTCTCAAACAGTACTCTCCAGTGGCTGCAGGAAACTTATGAAAGGTACTGTTAATTAGTAATTCTGACAGTATTTTTCAGGAAAAAAAGTGTTTTATACACCAGCAAATACAGTATATAGTGATAACGAAATTTAAAATTAGTTTAACCAAGCAAATACAATTTGTTTTGGCTTATTTGTACAGTGTGCCCAGGACTGTAATATAATAATAAATTTTTTAGTTGTACAAACTGTTGATATAATAATAATAAAATTATAATTAAATATGTATAACGTACTATCACTTGATAAATATATATTACACATCAAGTCGTGTAAACTTACTTCACTTTTGAAAACAGTGAGTGATATACATATATAACAATGTTTTTGTTATCAGAAATTATTCAAGTGTAACTAATAATATTTAAAGCATTTGTGTGGCAGCTTTTTGTCTACGTGCGGTGGACAAAATAATATGAACATCCATATGAAAATGGGCTATAATTCATCCTTGTAGTATAGCTATGCAATCTACAGTAGAACCCCTTTAATCTGTCACCTTTGGGACTGGGGGTATGGTCGGAACGCAAAAAAGGTCAGATTATCAGAAAAAAGTAAAATAAACAATCTTCCCTTTGTCCAGTCTTTGTAGCACTGCTAATTTTTCATTTAATGAAAGAGTAATGTATTTACGTTTCACACCTGACATGTTGAAAACACACACAAAACTGTACATGTACACACAATGTAAACATATACTGTAATGAACACAGAAGAATGCCACGGACGGTGAGTCACTGACGAGTCGGGACAAGTTTCTCGAGTCCAACCATGGTCGGATTAACCGGAGTGACGAACTAGCCGAGGGCGGACAAGAGGGGTTCTACTGTAGTATGAAAATCTGCCATGTAATGGAAATGGCAATATGTATAACTGCCATAAACAGCAGTCATACATATGCATATTGCATGTGAACATTCTACTAGTAGTCAAATGCTGTCATGTCTGACCTCTCAGACTTCCAAAAAGGCATGATCATTGGAACACATATTGCTGGAGCCCTAGTGACAAAAATAAACCTTGTGGGTGTTGCAAGGAGCACTGTGTCAACTGTTAAGACAACCCCCACAAAACATGTATGACATCATCTTCAAAACAGTATAGTGGGCAAAAGTCAAAGCTCACCAACAGGGATTAATGAGTATTAAAGCAGATTATGGCCCGAAAGTACAAGGCAATATTGTCTGAACCTCCAAGATGAACACTCATCTCCAGAACCCCGAGTAACCAAACTTACCCAATGGGAACTGCTGTAAATATATGTGGCAAAGCAGCTATTCTAAAAGCATTGGTGACACTGCATAATATTATCAAATGATGAGTAATGGTGCTGTCAGCACCATTTTCATAATTTGATAGCATTACACAGTGTCATCATTAATAATCAAATCAGCTTTTACATTATTTCAGACCACCACACGTGCTTACATATGGAGAATACCTGAAAAAGTCTTTCATGTTGACTGCCTCCTTCCTACTTTTAAGCAAGGACTCTGTGATGATACAGGTTGAAATATCTTTGCATAATCTGGGACCACTTATGTTTGTGCTGCTGTGATCTACCCATGCAGAACTACATCTCAGCATTCTGGGAAATCATCTCATCCTATAGTTCAGACTGTGTTCTCTGGTGAATGACCTGTGTTCCAGGTTGACAATGGTCCATTCATAGGGCACGTTCGTAAAGTCAAACGAGTTAAACGAGAATGACGTCATCATTATTCTTATTTCGTTAGACTTTTCGAACGATTCGTTTAGAACTAAATGGCTGTTTCTAAACTTGAAAATACGAATGTTGCTAGTACAGCCTTATCCGAAATATTTTCCTTAGATTGCTTCGGGTGGACAGTTACTTCAATCATTTCATCTTTTAATTCACAATTTAAACACGCGAGTAGATTTAGAAACATCGATATCGTCGGGCGCCATTTTCTTAACGAAGTAAACTAACTCTTTCCTTCGTGAACTTCGTTAGAGTTTCGTTCGAAACGTCATCATCGCAGAGCATGTGCACTGAGCGAGACTACTACTATTCGAACGATTCATTACTAACGCGTTTAACTCGTTTGACTTTACGAACGTACCCATACCGTTCTGTGTGTCCAAGCATGGTTTAATGAGTACAAGGATGAAATGGAACATCACATTTGGCCTCAGTCACTGATCTAAACATAATCAAATCTTTGTAGGGTAATTTGGAGGCCAAAGTGCATGTAGATTTCCATCTCCAGCCACACTTTCTGAACTAGACATCACTCTACACGAGGAATGGATGCATAGTCCCTTAAACATTGTGCATGACCTGTATTTATCCATCCCATGGGTGGGTCAATTTAATCCAAGATGGGTCATCTCCCTATATTTTGTGTCATTTCACTGGTGTTCATATTATTTTGTCCACTACCTGTATACAGCTTTCAATTGTTGGAATCTATTGATTTGAGAAATCATCATATTAGGTGAGAATTATTAACAAAAAGTACACTTGTATTCAAAAGATTGGAAATTCAGACATATATAGAAATCACTGCTGTGATTCCTATTTACAAACAGATTCATCACTAGACACAATTTGCATATTTCCTTTTCAAATGTATCACATACAGAAGCTGATATTAAATTCAGATAGATAATACTGATTTTGTTGCATACCAAATTTGATATATAATATCCACTAATTTTGTAAGCAATGTATTTATAATAATAAAGAAAAAATAATAATAGTTTAAAGTTTATAAATTATACTTTAAAAATAAATGAGTTAATAATAAGAGAATCATAAAAGCACACCTGTTGAATATCCTGATCTGTTTGTTGGGCTTGTAATGCAACAATAGTTGTATCATTAGTAAGTGATGTTCCAGTAGTTACCATAGCAATCTACAAAAAACAGTAATCTTTATAATATTTGAAGTTTCATTTAAATAGTATTAAATCTGAAATAATAATTAAATAACTTAATAAACAAGTATTAAAACATATTTGTCATCCTTATTTTGAGTATTTGATAATCAAATTTTGTTATAATAAAACTAAAATGACTTCAGTGCCAAGTAATTTTGCCAAATAATTGGGCTATTTTTTAGGCTAAAATTAGCCATATTATTTGACAAAATCATTTGGATCTATCAATTAAATTGGATTAAGAGTTGATGTTATTATCTAAAATGATTTCTTTAGCAGCTAAAATTATTCTGCCAGAATTTTGTAAATATATATAATTCGATAGTAATTTTTAAGATCATGATCACACAACCATTTCAATCAGTAAATAAACACATTTTAATACAATAAAGCTAATGTTTTCAGCTGTTTTTAACAGTCATCTTCAGGCAATGTACATTTCTAACCAATAGAAAAGAACATATTGTTCTCAAACACAAATTTAATCATAAAATTAAAACATATACAACATTGCAATTAATTAAAAAATTACGTAAAAATCTGTACTGAAATACAGTTAATTCCCTTTTTTAAATAAATCTCACCATGCTTTCAAAGACAGTGCAATCGTTCCTGGTCCCTAAAATTTATTAATGTGTTTTTACTCATCAACTTATAAATTTCTAAGCATTCCAAATGCTTTAGGAAGTGATCCTTTGTAACTTATCTAGCCATCTTAGTATTATCCAAATTCACCTCAATCCCTTCTTCAGATGCAAACGTAGGCAGGGCATTAAAAAAGCTTTTCTAATATATTGATGCTATGCACCCGTATCTTAGTGACTGTTTGATGGTTTCTACATATTCAACTGCCTGTTTGGCCTGCCATCCCATACAGGTATACTATATATGCTTTGTCACATCCAAGAAAGCATCCTGTTCTTGACATTATGGAGAAGATTACATAACGTCAGATTCCTCCTATAATATAGCTTAATTCCAACAACCTTTGGTATCTTATAATATCCTTAGTTTATCTGTTTTTACTTATGTAGTTACATTTCTGTAATTAAAATTATGTAGGTATGAGAAGTTTAATTTCACATAAAAGTTTTCTATATGTATTATTGCTTATGTAATCACTGTAATTCTGAGACTGTAATAAGCAAGTATACAATCTAAATCAAAATAAACATTTTTTGGAACATACACTTTAATAAATAGTTCTTAAAAAGAAAACAAAATTTAAATTTGGCAAAATTACAAAAAAATTTCTGATTTATTTATCTTTGAACATTGATATATCAAGACACTTCTGTTGTGCTATGAAGTTAAGAACAGTGACATTTGGATTTGGGGAAAACAAAGTCAATTTAATTACATATAAAAAGCAGTTAAAAATAACAATGTATTAATTTTAACATATGATATAAGGCAGGGGTGGCGAACCTATGACATTGGAGCAATCATCTGGCACGTAACGTATCATACAATTTCGGTTTATCACACGTCTTTTTCAATCATTCTTTGGTTTATCATCCGATTATCCTTTTTTCAATCAGCTTATTTGTATTTACTCTAATTAAAGCATATTTATATTATTTATTTAAACATAGTTATTCAAAGTATAAAACTTTGGAATTTTGGCATGCATAAATATTTTTAAAGATGAGTACACTTACTATATGGCATGCGAACTCAAAAAGGTTTGCTATCCTTGACATATGGACATGAAATTTTGTCTGTTAAATTAACGTTTTACTGTACTTCAGCCACTCAGTTTATGTAAATTGAAGTTTAAGTTCTAATGCATGTAATTTCATAATTATTAGAGCTTATAATGATTCTATATTTTTCTCAGAGAATTTTTCATTTTTAATAAATAATAAGAAAAACTTTAAATTATAAAAATTATACACACACATTTGATATACAATTCGAGTTTGACATAGACAACCTTTTCTGTTTATCATCTGCTACTGAAGAAGATAAAAAATTTAGATGATTTTCCCTATAACTTTCAATTCCACTAATCATTATTACTAGAATTCTCTTTTTTACACAAAGATTTGAAATTTGTGATTACATATCAAACCGTTTATCTTAAAAAGGAACAAAAATTATCATGTATCAATCTCTCTCATATGAAATAAAACTACTTTAAATATCTTATGCTTTCTTACATTTTCCATCCAATTATAAAATTCTGATAGAAAAAACTCTCAATCATATCCTTGATTCTACTGTAATTAATTCTTTTGTATTATTTAAACACACAATTAAAAATTTAACCGTTCCAGTCACATAATAAAAAATTAACATCATTCAGTTCACTGAACCAAAACTTATCTATATGATAATACAGAAGTTTTGCATTCTTCAAAGGAGAAAAAATAATAATTGAGCAAACAACAAAAATAAATTTACTATTACAATAAGATCTTACATTATTTTGTGTTTATCTGGCATAATTATATGTTTATAAATAATATTGCTTTAGTTATTAATAAATCAAGAAAATTAACAACAGATACTATTTAACTTAAATCCAGAAAACCTATGTAATGGTATTTATTCTAGTATATATTATATTAAAATATGATTTCATATCTAATCAGTTTACCAAATTCAAAAATCTGTTATATTAAATCATATGCATGTATGGATGTACACAAGATACAAAATTTACTGTAGATATTTATTTCCATCATACTTTTAGAATATTTAATGCAATTGTTCATTAATTTTAAGAGCATTTTAAATCTACAGGGTGGGTAGAAAGTAACTAGGCATTGAGAAATAGCTATAATTTTTGTAATGATCATAATAAAGTTTTGTGCACATGTACATCAATCAATGGAATTTTGTAATTCCCACATCAGTGATTGAGGCAGTAATCAAGAGAGGCCGCACATGCATTTGCAAAAAAGATGACTGACCACTCTGTTCAGGAGTGAGCATAGATTGCTGTAGACTATCAGGTTTCAATCAGTGGTTGCTGTGCAAGGATAGCAGTATATTGTGAAGGAATGTCACACCACAATCCATACAGAAACAATCAAGAACTGTCATTAAAAGCTAAAATAACTACAGATGTGATTGTGGATGCAAGGAGAAGTGCCCATCCAGTCACATTACAATCTGAGGAAAATGCATTGCTGATGGAAGGTACTGTACCTATGCATACATTGAATTTTAATGTAAGCATCCATATTTCCATTTAATAAGGTATATTTCAAATAATTTTTATCAAATTTGCATTAGAAATATAGAAATTATAACAATTTCACTACACCTAGTTACTTTCCACCCATTCTGTATAAAAATTCTGTAAATTTATTATATAATTGCCACTCAGTATATTTTAGCCTAGGATAATAAATAAAAAAAGCAGCTCAGATCCATCAATTATTTATACTTCATTTTTTATGTAATTAGCAGTGCGTCATTTAGCAACTCAACCATGAAATATGTCTAATGCTGTATTTGTGGTCTACTAATTTTCTAATTGATATTCATTAATTATAACTAATTACATAATAATATTAAACATAACAAATAAATTAATTAATATAATTTGTAAATAATTATTTTATACATTTTATACATGCNGAGGATATAATCTATTAAAAACTTTTTCAAAAGTTTATTGAATTAACAGCTCATTTAATAATTCCTATGTTGTGTGTACAATAAAATACTTGTTTAATGCTATATAATTGATATATTGCAATAAGTGATAACATTAATAATAAAACAACATACCTCAAGGTAAAGCTCAAACTGTTAATATATACAATTTTCAACTGATACTTTTTTGTGAGATATAAAAAAAAATAGACAGGTCTTTAAAAAGCTTAATTGTTAAGACTAACTAAACTAGTAATTGATGCATAGTGTATATTTAATGAAGATAGAATATCAATAGTAAACTGTTTTTACTATTTATTTTGTATGATATATTGAACAATAACGTAGCAAAACAAGTCATATCAATATAGCTTTTTTTTGTTAGATTACTGTAAAATATAGTACTTTGTTACATTCAACACACTAAATACGACTTTACAGTAATATAAAGTCAGTCTGCAAAATGATCAAACACAATTCTAAGCTGTTATTAGGTATATTTTAGTAAACATTTTCAAACAATGGAAATATCACCGCTTTTAATGGCATTAATTGTATTTTTAAAAACAGCTAATACTTTATGGTACTGAACATAAATTTCATTACATAAAAAATGATTATTTTACTCTACTTACCCTAATCTTTTTGATATATGTTCGATAAAATAAGTCATTGTAATTATGTTAAATTTTCCATTCCTTATTTTAATTGCTACATGTAGTTTTATGTAAGATTATTTAAGGCTTTCTATCATAATTACTTTGTTTTTATTGAATTTCAAAAAAGAACAGATCTGTTTAATGTTCTTGATAAAACTTTTAGAAAATTTGTCAAAAATACTAAAAAAACAGTACTGTAATCAAAATACCTTTGTAAATTTCAGAAATATAATAGAAGTTCAATTCTACTTTAATCTGATTAGAGAAAATACCACTTTATACATACATCTATATAATTTTTACACAAAAAGCTTTTCCTCTTGAAATATAATCTCTCTCTTAGAAATCAAAACTTACTTTAAGACAAACTTTCTCATAAGATCTCATGAAAAGACAGTAATAAATTAATTCTAGATTTATTATGTTCTCCATGATTTTGTCTAGCTTAAGAATTCAAACTTTTAAATTTCAAAAAACTTATTTCAAATACTAAAATTATTCATCTATTTGTTCTATTGTTTCATAAGTTATTTAGTAGATTAGGACATAAAATTAATTATAATATTTTCATTGATCAAAAATATATTATTTCAAATTTGATCATATCATGTAATTTTTATATCAACGTTTTAAAAATGAACTTTCTTAGCAAAGAACTTTAGCCTAATTGTAACATACTAAAATTTTAAGATTTTTTAGTGTAACCTCTTAATGTGACAAAATGTATTT